TCACACATCTTTTTAATACTATTGAATAACTGCAAAGGGAAGTCATAAGAGAGTCTGGTAAGATTTTGGATTGATAAGAATTATTAAAGGGGTTTATTTTGTTTTATTTTAAAAGCAAACACCATTTCTCTATTAAGAAATCATAATAATGCAACAACAAAATAAAATTACAACCTGTGGCTAAAGGTTAGCTGTATTAATGCTGTCAGCATCTTTTCCAATCAGTGGTTTTATAGTCATTTTCTTCCAGGATTTTCCCAGGTGCTTTTACATTGGCTTGTTTATTTTAGAGTTGCTAGTGTATCTAGGGCTTTCTGTTTTATTGTTGTGTTGTCATTATTCAGCCAAAGTCTGTCATGTGTAAAGGCAAGGTCTGTGAAGTTGGATAAAGTTTTTTTCCTAAATTCCCTTTAATTGAAAACTCTGGGAACATCAAGAGTCATGTCTGCATCCTCCTGCTGATAAAAACGGGGCAATTTCTGTGTTGGCTGAATCACAATGTATTGTTAAGCCATGTATTATTGTAAATCAGCAACTTCCCACTACTGGGACTTCTGACTCACCAAATTCTCTGAGCTGGAGTGATGAAGACAGTGCGTCAAGGAGACAAGAACTGTTTTGGCTGTGAAATGTTTATTAAATCTCTCCGTTACATAATGGCACTGGAGGAAGGAAGACTGGAAATTGGTCCATGTGCTCAGAAGCTTCCAGGAATGGGCAGCAATTTTAATGTCTCCCATTGCTCATATTTTCTTTTCCTATGGAATATTTTATTTACCTGTTTTTTTTATAGCCACATGCAAGAGCTTCATTACTTGCCAACCTGCAAGTTTTATCCCTGAAAAATAAAACCACAAGGTTTTAATATGGGAGAACCTCCTGTAAATGTAGAAGTGAAGTCCTCATCAGACCTTCTAGGAATGGCAGCACTGCATGTGCCGTGTTTAACTAGCCAGCACACATGGTTGGGGGCTTCTGTTACGTCTCGGGCATGAGATACAGGGAGAAGGTGCCATTCCTGGGTACATTGTGAAACTGAAATTATTGGGGATCTTGGGGGAGGAAGAAATGGATATCATCTTATAGGAGGAAGCATGAGGCTTAGTTCAGTTGTAAGCATCGGCTCCTCTCTTCCTCCTCCCCCCCCCCTGTCTGTTGTTACTTTGCAATCCACCTTCCGCACTTGGGAGGCTGGCTCTTTTGCTCTTTGAATTTGCAGCTCATGTGACAGGCACGTCCCCATGTTTTGAGTGTAGCAGCCTTTTTGTTTGGTCCTTAGACTCTGCATCTAAGTGGGCACATAGGTCAGCAGAACTGGCCTCTGCCTTGGGAACAGACTTCATGAGTAAACTGATACTTCATCCTGTGATCCATCTCCTCCAGTTGGTGCCTCCTAGAAATGCTGTTTCCTTTGTTGTTATTTTTTCTGCATGATCAGCTCAGGCAAACCATTTCCTTCTCCCTCACAGCAGTGCTGGAAAATGAGAGAGGATACGACCTTAGATCAGTCATTCTGTGGTAGCAGCACACCACCATTCCTCTGTTGCCACGCAAAACAGTCACTCTTATCTGCTTAATTATCTGGGATGTCTCATAGCAGTGCACATGGTTATTTCAGACATCTAGGTTGTTTTCCATGTAAAACAGATTGTCACATGCTGTACCTCCCAAGCGTCAACTCAGAAAACCTTTTACGCACTCGAGTTCATTTAAACAGTTTGCTCATGCAGAACAGTATCCCAGCAATGAAAATAGGGTGGAAATGAAGAAGGCAATGGGTCATGTCTAAAGGGTGATGGTGGGAAAGATTAACATGTCAGTGGGGAGCTCTGAGAAGAATGGGGTTATGGCTGGACTGGGAGTTTCCAGCAGCAGTGAGACTGACAAACATGTATGTCACATCAGTTATAATTAAAAATTGATGGGAGTGTAAAGTTGCCAAGGAGACTTAATAAAGGGAGGAAGTAATGTGAATAAACATCATAAAACACACTAACCTTAAGTTTGCGTTGCCTCAGTCCTTGCTCCCAGGCATTTCATTTCACTGATGCTTCTTCGTTTTTTCCTCTTTCTGTATGTTTTCTTTTCTCTTCTGGGGAGGGGGGGGAGGGGGAGTAATCATCAAACTCTCTGCGGTGACTTCCTAAGGCAGAGCACAGACTCCCTTGCCATGGGGATTTGTGCTTGGCTTGCATTTGCTATTGACCAGCATCCTCAGTTCGCCTTTTTCCCAGGTCCTCACTGCTCTGTGTTCTGCACGCTCAGCCTCTACTGTCTGCTATACACTAATTGTTTGTCTTAATTCAGTGCTAAGCTGCTACGAAGGCCAGAGACTTGCACTCAGAAATCCCTGTGGTGCTGAACTGCTTTGTTCTATTGTGTTTTGTGCAGGATACAGAGAGGCATTTGCTTGATTCATTAGTGAATTTGGTGCTGTAGCTTGCCACTGCAAATGCCAAAGAACAGGTCACAAGGGGACTGGAGTTGCTGGGGGAGTAAAGACAAACTGGTTTGTTTGTATTTTTCCTGTGCAGCATGCGCTTTTGGTGGGGACTGTGCAAACAAGCTCATGAGATACAGTCTGAGGGTTTTAGCAGGTCTGTCCTATTTGCATAGGTCATGGAAACAACACAATTTTTCACAGTTTCAGTGGAGATGGGACAGGTCCTTTTGTCACTCAAACCAAGCAACTGTTTGAAGGAAATGTTTAGAGGTGCAGTAAATTTCACTGTCAAATTAACGCAGAGGCACCCATTTCACAGTGCCTCCCCCTGCTTGAGCTGGCAAAGCAAGCGCTATGTGCTTGCTTGCTCGGAGCAGCCTCCTTTTGGCATGCTGTCTGTAGATTGCGTTCTTCTACTCAGTGTTCCTTCTTCCAGGTCATTGATCTCCAAATCAGGCCAGAAGACAGCATGACCCCATTTGTCACAGGCCCTTTCTATGCTGGAGCATCACACTCACTAACTTTGTCTTCAGTCTGCTTTGTAACCTGTCTGCTTCAGCTGCCCTTTCCCTGTGTTGCTCTTGCTGGCCTTAGAAGGTCAGTCATCTGTAGGGTCCGGGACTGAAAGCTTGCTCAAAGTCTAAATGACGTTTTTAGTTTCCTGTTGACTCTGTTATTTCCTACTGTGACTTTATCAGACTGTTAGACCTGATCTTCCTGTCTCAGTGTTGCTGAGAGCTTATTCAAGCTTTGCTCTTTTATTAGCTTCCATCATTTCACTTTGTTATTTAAAAAGCATCTTGGGTTTGGGTTTTTTTTTTTAATTGCTGTTGTTATCGCCAGTGACTTATGCAGGGTTGGCTCGGGTCAGCCAGACCCACTCCCTGGTGCTTGTTCTCCCTAGCTGTCTCCATTCAATACAAGCTGTTCTCCAGCAAGAGTCAAACAGCAGGTGGGGAGCGCGGGGCTCCTGCCAGCCCTGCAACAGAGTTCAGAGATAAGGGAGCAAGAAGCAGCAGCAGGTACACTCGCAATCCCTGTTCAGCTCCAGTAGTTACCCAGCAAGGAAGAGTCTCTGTGAGCTCTCAGCTCCAGCACACTGCTTTTGCTAGTCCTTTGCAGCCATATGATATTCACTCTTGAGACGGAGTAGGACTTTTTTGCCTCATACTTTTAAACAGCTATTTACTTGCTTTCATTTTGTATAGTGGTAGGAGTTCCCTGGTCATCACTGAGACATAACTGGTAATAGCTGTTAGCTTAAATAAACTGTAACTGGACCCTGCTGGACTCTTCCTTTAACTTTTTTGGCAAATATTCAAAACCCTCTTTGCCCTTCAGTCTTAAGCAGTCTCTCTCTGCTATAAATAATACACTCTCAGTGACTCCATTCTAAAAGCATATGGAAAACTGCTTCCAAGCTGGAGGATCGGCTGTGGCTGTGTCTATCAGCAGGGCTACTTTGGCAGCTTAACGAGATGACTATTTAGGCAGCTGGAGATCAGGCTTTCAGGAATACTGAGCATGGTTGCTCTTCATAGGAAACCAGACACTTCAGAAGTGGTTTCCTCTTGATTCTGGGAAAGAATGCAGTTGTTGAAAGAAACCAAACTTCCAGCACGGAAATTCAGGGAAGAACAGCCTAGATTCTGGCCAACTTGTAGGGACCTTGGCCAGCTGCACAGGCGGGGGCGGATCTGTTCCGCCAGAGTTATAAGCAAACCCTCTTGGCAAGCAGTCTGTTATTTGGGTTTGCTGAAGCACTGAAGCTAAGTACTGCTGCCCATTGGCCTCCTGGACCTCTGTGCAGTCCCAAAATGTGGGAGCTACTGGTTACTGACTATTCCTTACAAGGGGTCTTCAGGAATTTCTGCCAGAGTTGCACCTACAGGAACCGGTCCAATTCGACAGGAAAGCATGTGTGTGCTGGCAGCATCCCACTGTGGGCTCACGTCCGTAACAAAGTGCGCAGAGATAAGGTTGGCCTGACTTGCTTGTCTGTTGCTTCTTGGGGTCTCTGCAGTGTGAGCAAGCAGGGAGAAACTTTTCTCTCTGCCGGTTGTCTTTTTTTGGAAAGTGGGGAAGGGCATGGGGGGACTTGTCTCTGTAGCTGTCAGCAGCATTGGGCTAGTTTGTTAATGGTTTGAAAGACAGAGTGAGCATGATTGCATCTGAGATCTCCCAGGATAATAATGCAGCTGCCATTGTTTCAACATTTACCTCTGCCTGTCAGAGAACTCTGCTTTTGCATGGGGTTCTGCGAGAGGGAAGGAGCTGTGCTGCAGAAGTAGCTCTAGCTACTGAGTCTTTTTGTTTGCTGACCACAGTAAACTCAAAACACAGAGTCTAGTGCAGTTCCCTCCTTCTGGTCTTACTGTGTCTCAGTGTTCAAGAGCCAAGTGTTACAAAGCCATCTCAGGAGGCACCGAAGTCTGCTTGCTTTGGCTGGTACTGATTGCTGATAGAAGTCTCCATGCAGACAGGTCTCTTCTCTTTTTTGCCAGTCTAGCTTGAGCTGAGTGCCGCTCTTCAGCCATTCAGATGTGTTTGGCCTCTTCCAGGCAGTACTGGAATTGCTGGGTGATGCTTGAGTACTTGAGTCAGCTGCTCCCCAGCCTCACAACTGTCCACTCAAAAGAGATCAAGAAAAGCTGAAAATGGGAGATCAGGGCTTTGCATCAGAACATGTTTCTGCTTAATGAATTCTTGCAATAGCACGGCCCGGTGTTCTTCCTGCCTCCGTGCTCAAATTGAAATGAAAAGGAATAGGCAGGTTGAAGTAGGACAACTTTCCATGATTTCTAGGCTAATTTTCTCCATTTCTCCTCTGTCAGATCCTGACAGAGGTTTGGTTTGTTTAAAGTTACTTGTCTCCGTATGGATCACTTCATATTTCTCTTCCTTGATCTCACTGTTAGGGTCATTATGTCTTTTGAAGTCAGTGGAACATAGTCCTTCTTAGAAGCTATTAGCTCCATAGCCAAGAGCTATGAAGTTCTCCAGCCTAGCTTTTTATTTTAGTGCAGTAATTTCACACTCATCCAACCTCACCTGTCTCTAGAAAACTGCAGAGGGAGACAGTTTCCACTGTTTCAAACCAGAGTTATTTCAGAAATTTGTCCTCCCTTTTTCCGACTTCTAGCCCTGTGGGATGGGACAAATTTGGCTGTCTGTTAATGTGCCTGTTGTGCTACAGCAATGTGTGCACGCTCTCTCTTTTTTTTTTTTTTTTTTTTTTTGAAAGCTGAGGTTATTGGCTTTCAAACATGGATTTTGCTCTCTGAGGTTTCCTTTGTTGTTGAGCAGACACTGCACATGTGTTGCTGGATTTTCCATGTGTGTGAGTCCTCATCAGCCCTGCTTAGAGAACTGCACAATAGCTGAGTATCCTGTTACCTGAAACCTGGGAAACCTTGGAATGTGTGTTTTCCTATGGAAAAGAAATAACGTTGAAAGTGGTAGTGCTTTGCTCACTTACAGAAGCCTTTCAGGCTATCTGATTTCTCTGAAGTCTGTTCCTAGCTCATGGGTAACTTCCATGTTTTTCAGCTGGACCCACAGGCATTGCAGGACAAAGATTGGCAACGCACAGTCATCTCAATGAATGGAGTAAGTACGGAAAACAGAAGTTAGCACTGCTTCTGTACTCTTATGTGCTTTATTTCTTTGCTCTTCATTGCAGCATTAAAAAAAAAGAAAGAAAATGTTTGAAATGTAACAGCTGTTCTCTTTTATTCAGGTTGAAGTGAAGCTGTCGGTGAAGTTTACCAGCCGGGAGTTTAGCCTGAAAAGGATGCCGTCCCGGAAACAGACTGGGGTTTTTGGGGTCAAGATTGCTATTGTCACCAAGTGAGCTGATGGGTCACATTTCTCCCTATTGCTTTTTAGAAAGCTAACTTGCCAGTGGGTTGCACCTGCCTTTACCCCACTGAGGGATTTGTCAGTCCGGTCTGCTTCATTTGGGTAGTAGTGTAGATGACTGTGGCTGTAGAAAAGAGATGCTGTGTATTCTCTGAGCTTCATTTTGTGCAGGGGAAAAAAAACAGTGTGCACTCAGGCTTTGAAATTTTGGGTGTTTACTTGCAGCATATCACTCTTCTGAGTTCTGGAAATACCCCTTGCCCTTTTACTCTGTAGTTAGCTGACTTGGTCACAAATTTCCAGAGCCACTGAACAGTGATGTTTCCTTTCCATAATGGGAAATGTTCAGGTTCTTTGGATCCTGTGGTATTATTTTAACCCCTGATCTTTTGTCATGAAGCGTTTGCCAGAAGAAACCTGTTTGTTCTGTTATATAGTTTGGGAAGTGTGGTATTTCCTCCCTGTGGAATTGCATTGATTTGAAAGGAACAGTGTTGCTATGTATCCAAGGACTGTTTGGGAATCCTCTGATTACCTGCACAAAGTTGCAGACTCAAGGGGCACTAGGACCCGGCCAGAAGCTCAAGTACTCAGGGCAGCTGCAGAACAGCCAAAGCCAGGCTGAGACACTCAGAAAACCCTCTGCAGTTTTAGAAGGAGTCTTTCAGCTCAGTCTTGATTGCCTGCTCAGACTTTCTCCCACCCCATTTTCCAGAAGAGGTTTGCACAGCAAAATGATGGGGTGATTTCAGCCAGCCTGGCTGCTGGGGGTAACAAGCATTGAGGGTATGGGCTGTACTGAACTCTTCTATCTGGCTTTCTTAAGGAGAGAGAGGTCGAAGGTGCCTTACATAGTGCGGCAGTGTGTGGAGGAGATAGAGCGGCGTGGAATGGAGGAGGTGGGCATCTACCGTGTCTCTGGGGTTGCAACTGATATCCAAGCTTTGAAAGCTGCCTTTGATGTCAGTAAGTATTTGCGTCTGATGTTTTCCTTTGCACTGTGAGAACCTGCGTGAGCTCTCTGTCAGGTGGCTGTGCTATTTTTAATCTTATGTTCCCCAAGAAGCATTAAGAGGTAGAGATTCTCGCACAAGGAGAATCATTTTAACCCTGGCTGCATGTTTTATTAATATTCTTCAGCTACAGATATAACCCAAGACATACAACGGGTGGATCCTTATACCAAATAACGCATTTGCTATTCTTCCCAGCAGACATGAAATGGTGGGTTTGCCTGCCTTGCCAAATCTTTGTGAATGGCAGACACCTTCCCCAGGGGAAGTGGCAGCAATCAGAAGTCATAACTTCCTCACTGTTGTGAGGTCTCCAAATTAATTGAAGTCCTTGAAATTAAGAATGTTTTGTGAAAGGAGGCTAGCAAAAAAAAATTTCTAAGGTTGATTAGGAAGGGTGTTCACGAAACTGGAGTTGGATCATCCGAGCTCCCGAGTTCTCTTCTTAACTCTATGTCTAGATTGATGTGTGCAGATTGTAAAATCAGATAATTTTGCCCAATCTTTGTAAAGCTTTCTTTGATCTTGAGCAGAAGAGGGCTCCTTACTGGTGCTGCATTTAAAAGAATGGCATGCATGTCCCAAAAGGCATCCAAGATCAGGCAGATGAAACACCTCCAAATTGCTGAGGTACAAAACGTGAAATTCTGCCCTACGTCCAGCTTCCGCATGATGGTCCAAGGACCGTTCAAGCCACACTCGAGCTCCCTTTTGATGCAAGCAGTCGTGAGGCCTGTGCCAGGTGCCCAAATTCACCCTCCCTGCACTTTTTCTTCACTTATTTTGTGAAATTTCTTCCTTCTTGTATATTCTTTTCAATCCCTCCAAGCTACCAAACACGTTGATTTATGAATCTTCACTAGTGCAAGTAAGGATGTTTCACATTTTGAAAAACAACTTTTTTCATTTATATTAAATGCTGTTTTACACTGAGCTTCATGAAACCAATGCTGGTTCTGATGGTTGATCTGTTTGTTTTACAGAAAGGGGGTGGTTTTGTTGTTCTTAATAGTAAAAAACCTGAAATGTGATCCCTGAATTGCCTGTGTACTTTAGCTACACTCAGTGGGGAGTTAGACAGTCTGAGTCTCTTCTTCTAAGCTGTTAGAGGCAGGGAATTGGAATAACAACTGTTGTCACTAACAAAAGTTGAAATGCATATACATACAGTCAAGCAGGGCTTGTTTCAGTCAGGCCGAGGTCGCTGGCACAGCATAACTGACCCTGGGTAGTGTGAGGTTCCCCCTACTTGATTTAAAGCTATAAACTGTTTGCAGTCATTTGCGCAGCACTTCCCAGTTGTCAGAAGGTAGCTCATTTAATGTGGAGAAATGTAAACAGGAAAACTCTCAGCTCTTTGGGCAAAGACAAAGGATAAACAAAGAGAGCCAAAGCAAGAAAAAGAATGAACGCAAGGCCAGCAGCTTCTTTACCCTGCTTCCCCTCTTCCCTCTTTCAGATAACAAAGACGTGTCAGTGATGATGAGTGAGATGGATGTCAATGCCATTGCAGGCACCTTGAAACTGTACTTCCGGGAATTGCCTGAACCCCTCTTTACAGATGAACTGTACCCCAACTTTGCTGAGGGCATTGGTAGGTAGTAGCAGAAATCACCCTTGATAACCGGGTCTGTGTTAAAGACACTGTTCTGTAGGAGGCTGCTCCTAAAGCAATACAAAAACCTTATTTATAATGTCGGACAGAAGCCTGGAACAAGCTGTTAGGGAAGTGAAATGGAGCTCAGAAATGAGCGTTGGAATGACATATTCTTCCTATGAGCTTGAATATGGGCAATTGCCATGCCTTTTTGTAAGTTGAAAACATCCAGGTTTCTGAAGGATAGGTTAAGAATAGAATGACAGCCTACTTGTTGAGGCTGTGCTTGCTGTTTGCCCCATTCAGTCTTCCAGGGAAGCCCTTTTTGGGGGGGATATACCTTGTCTTATCTTGATGCAGGGGAAAAACATCATAATGGTTGAAAGTCTGAAAGCGCTTGAACTGCTTGAGTGAAAAGGATTCTCTACATATCTATGAAATAAAGGAAAGAGATCCTGTGGGGTATTGATGTGCAACTCTGACCTTCCAACCGATGATGTAATTACAGTCCATTCAGGACCATCCATATCTGTTGGTTTGGGAAATTACACAGTCGGTCAAATTCTCGTTCACTGCCTATGGTGATGGTTTGTTATTTTCTGTCTTGTAGCACTTTCAGATCCTGTTGCAAAGGAAAGCTGTATGTTGAATCTATTGTTATCGCTTCCAGAACCCAACCTTGTGACATTCCTTTTCCTTTTGGACCATTTAAAAAGGTAATATGTGGATCCTTTAGACACGTATTTAATGTGTAAAGCATCATTATTTTGAAAAGAGGAGCCTTTTCCTTGAATCTGTGCTGAATCACACAAATGAAGAAGCATTTGCTGATTTGCTGTGAATGCTCATCAGATAACTATTGTCTCATACTCACTTAGTGTGAGGCACTAAATCCTGAATTCCATTCCCACTTACACTGAAAGGATTAGAACTGGAGGAAAGGGGTAACAAAAGTCTCAGGGCTCATCTAGTGCAAATGCAAATTCCTGCTGCAATACCACTGCAAAACTGCACCTGCATCTGGATACAAAGATCGGGAAAGGTTTTAGTATAAATTGTGAAGCTTTGGCCGTGTTTAAGGACTTGTGAGCCCTGTCTCAAAAGGCGTCTGCAATCTAACATGATACATTTTTAAAAATTCCAGCACTTCTGCTAACTGGAGTTGTCAGTTCATTGCTTAGACTTAGTCTTTCTGATCTTGTCTATCTCTTTGTAATACGGTTGTAACTGTGAAAAAGTATTTCCGTGTGTTTGATATTAATGCAATAAGCTTGCTTAATACATGCACCGTGTGTTAATTTACATATGTATTTTGTACGTACCAGAGACTGTCACTAGAGAGATGAGAGATGATCTTGTGTCTGAGGTTCTGGATTAAAATCCAGGAAATCTGGGTTTTACTTGTGTTTCTGCTGCAGACTTGTCTGCCGCAGACTTTTCTGCCCTTGGGTAAATTTTTTAACCTTTGTGCCTCAGTTCCTCACTTACGAAACTGGGATGAAAAACGTTCCTTTATTCCTGTCCCACTTCTGTCTGTCCAGACAGTAAGCAGCAGCCCCTTTCCCAAGTTTAAGCCGTGTCTGTAGAGTGCCTGGAGACTGTGGTAGTGTCAGATCAAGGTATTTGCTTATATGTAAAGTTCATTTAGGCACATATGGAGAGAGAGTGGTTGATTGAATGTATCTAAAACTTGTTACAAAAGGAATAAATATAGTTTCTCACTTAAGGACACTTTCAAACTCAGATATTTATAAAGATCTGCCTTGTTGTTTCCTCTCCCAGGGTTGCTGAGAGGGAAAGCATTAACAAGATGTCCCTGCATAATCTTGCAACTGTCTTTGGACCAACGCTGCTCAGACCTTCAGAGAAGGACAGTAAAATCCCTGCTAACCCAACCCAGCCTATCACAATGACTGATAGTTGGTCACTAGAAGTCATGTCCCAGGTAAAATCCTAAATGTGCTATTGAATCTTGTGAAGACAGTATCCAGGAAACTGCAGTCCTCTAGCAAGGCCTGGGTCAGCCATCTTTCTGTGTTTTCATGACAGTTTTTTTGAGAAACATAAACAACTTTCACCCTTCCACAGACATTTTAGGCTGTTTGTAGAACTCTGTTTCTTCAGGCAGTTCAGTTTGCATCTGTACTAATACAGCTTTTCATGAAAAGATGGCAGTATGCACGCAATCCTGTATGTTTCATGATTTTTTTGAGAGCTGTCTCGCAGTGCCACATTGCTAGCCTGGGATAAAAGGACCATCAGTGTTTTTCCACGATGCTCCTCACCACCTTCACTGATGCACAACAAAATTCTTTGCTGAATTCAGATTTCTTTGGCTACTGCTGCCTTTTGAAGGCGATGCAGAGAATTCAAACATAGAGGCTGTGTTAGCTGATCAGGCTGTTTTGTACTTTCTTGGTTGAGTAACGGCAAATTATAGATCGGATTTTTGCAGTGTGGTGGAACACCAACACCATTGTTATATCCTGGAAGCTGAAAAGAGTGTCTCTGAAGCACTGCGAGTTTTAATATTCCTGTTATTATACACTGTATTAAAACAAATACATAACTGCAGGATGTTCCTGTGGAGAGAGCTGTAGGCATGCCTGCCAACTCTCAAATAGCCAGGATAAGAATGAGTTAACAGAGCTTTATTACTACCTCTTTCTTTCTCTTTCCAGGTTCAAGTTCTTCTGTACTTCCTGCAACTAGAGACTATCCCTACCCCAGACAGCAAGAGGCAAAGCATTCTCTTTTCCACAGAGGTGTAGGTGCCTGTGATGCCAACAGGACACAAAAAACTGCTCTTGGCATAAATCTGCCACACCTGAGAAAAAGGAGACTGGTGTTTCTTCAGACATTACTGGCCTGTTCCTATCCTGGGGAATTATGGCCCTCAGTGCTTCTGCTGTTTGTTAACCAGGGACAAGCTGAAGAGAAGGGAGAAAAATCTCTGCTTTTGATTGGTAGGACCAGAACTGAACAGGAGATGGAGCTGTGCAGAATCTCCACTAGAAGGAGCAATAGACACTTGAACAAATGCACCACAGAGTGTGGCTATTATTCTTCTTGGGAATGTGACAGAAGGTATTCCTCATTTTATGGATTTAACTTATCATAAAGAAACTTCAAGATTTCTACTGGATGACTTGATAGGATACCCCTTTTTGGGTGAGGGGGAGTTAAAGGATATATCACAACTGTGTCTTTAATAACTGCTGGTTTTAAAGTACTGTTCTAGGCCACAAAAATAGCATTGCTTTGCAAGAGGAGAGGAGAAGGGAAGGGTCTGGGATCTAAGATTCCCTCCTCAGAAATTCCAGTCTTGATTTGAACAGGGCTCTAAAGAAATGAAACAGTTTTGCGTACAACTAGAACTGTTGGTTGGTTTGGGGTTTTTTTTGTCTCACCCACCCCTTCCCTTGCAAATGTTTATACAAACTCTAGGGAAGGAGATGCCGTGCTCTTGCCTATGTTGCACTTGTCATGGGTTTTCTTGGGTTAAGGGAGCCAGACCCAATGATGTTACACTATAAATAGAGCAAATTAAAGAGAGGCAGGGAGGATTAGTCAGTGATTCTGTTTGTGATTCTGTTGTTTGTTTGCATATAAAAGCAGGGGCAATATCCAGACAGGATTGCTAAATTCCTTAGACCCCACCAAACGTAATGAAAATGAACTGGGAAGACTCTTAATTCCCAACACTCCAAAGAAAAGATGTTATCACTGCAAAAATAATTGAGAAGGAGGAGTGGGGGGGGGGGGGGGGGGAATCAACGGCTATCAGTTTGGCTGACTGCTTACTCCAAACTTTTATCAGAACATCTTTTTTTTGATACTTGAATTTTTGGAGGCTTTGTACATTGCTTCTACAAGAGTCTTTTTCTGATAGATAAAAATACTTTGGTAAAATGTGTCAGAACGTACTTTATGGACAATCTAGCAAGTAGCATGCATTGTGTATTCTCCAGAGATTCCAACCCTGTTTTAAAAAGGAGCAGTGAAGAAATTTCTATGGAACTACATACAACAGTACAAAAGGTCTAGCTAAATACCAGCTTTGTGTTCCCCTGCCTAAATCAGCTAAAGCCACAGGGGTTACGTAGGCGTAAAGGGCAGCAGTATTTGTCTAGGGAATTGAAAGCATAATCTAATTGCTGGTATCCAGAGCAAAGTCCAACCCTGTTTTAAAAAGGAGCAGTGAAGAAATTTCTATGGAACTACATACAACAGTACAAAAGGTCTAGCTAAATACCAGCTTTGTGTTCCCCTGCCTAAATCAGCTAAAGCCACAGGGGTTACGTAGGCGTAAAGGGCAGCAGTATTTGTCTAGGGAATTGAAAGCATAATCTAATTGCTGGTATCCAGAGCAAAGTATTCTGGCTATGAAGCAGTTGTGCCAAACATCGGGGGGAGGGGGGGGGAGAAGCGGTTGCATTTTCATAAACTACTCCAGCCCCCTGTACTTCCTACCCAGTTATGCAGCATCCATTTAGTGGCATCCATCCATCATCATCCTGGCGAGAAGAAAAGTACAGCTTGATGACAAGGGAAGGAATCGGCACAAGAAGGGGAGGGAGGGACAGATTTTGAAAGATTGGTACAGTTAGGTTGTCAACATCATTTGAGGGGAAATATGACAAAGAAAGCGACCCCTGTTATGCTGAATTTCACATTTTCTGATGGGTGATCTGCAGCCTCTCAATTAAAAAAAATATAAAAGGAGTCGTTCAAACAAATGGAAAGAAAAAAATTAAAGGGAAATGATTTTGTAGTCACTGTAATTCTGACTGCTGCATAATATTAGAAATTATTGTACTGTGAAGTTGCAAATTCAAAAAGGAAGAAATATAAATTTCAATTTTGTGAGTATATCAATATTTTTGCATGCTTTGTAAGGATTCTTATAGGAATTTAATATTGCTTAGTATCCCTCCCTCCTTAGGTCTGGGAGCAAACCTCTTTGTAATGTAATGTACAACTAGAAATTCCTTCTCTCTTGTATGTATTTTCACCACATTCCAACTTCTGAACCCATAAACCAGAAAAAGTGTTTATAGTAGGAGGTGCTTTTTTGGGGGAGGGAGGGAATGAAGGCAAGGAAACTTGAAGGCTTAAGATTTTGATTTTTTTTTTTCTTTTTTTGCCTTTTTGAAGGTAAAAATTAGTCACAAATCCTGAAAAACATTGACTTGAGAAAAGTCACGCAGACCAGTAAACCACACTCTATGGTTTTGTTTTTATGTATTTGTTCTCATTTTTACATAGCGGATCTATAGCAATCCTTTTACTGCGAGCTGCACACCTGCCCATTCCACGCTGCTGTTTGATATATCTGAGGCAGTAGCACTGCTGATGACTTCATTTAAAAGGAAGAAAACCCAACCAAACTACTCCAGGTGGTTGGGCGACAGCCTTTTCCTTTTGGTGTTTGGAGTCCATGGCTGCTCTTCGCAGTGTTGAAACTGGAAAGCAATACCATAATGACTGTGCCAATTTACTTTTGCCCAACTTTTTTATTTTTATTTATATAGGGAGTTAATTTTAATATTAAGTTACTGATCTATAGTATGTAACCATGAGAAAATTGCTTTTGCTTTGGTTACTGTTACAGGTTGTTGCTTTTAGTCTCTCATTACAATGCTCCGTTCTAATGTAACATTATCTAACATGCAGGCATGTGGATCAGGGAAAAGAAGTTAATTTAACTTAACCCATTAATTATTGCTGTTAAGTATGAATATGTTTTCCCCAAAGCTGGTAATTTTGGGCTGGAAAAGATAGTGCATCTTATTGCTGATGATGAAATCATGGACTGATTTGAAATACGAGAATTGATTTCTTGAATTTCCTTTAATTTTGCAATTAAGTTTTTTCAAATAGTCTTATGTTTTCAGAAATTAAGTATTTCCAAAAGGCTTTTATGTTCTTTTCCCAGGGACGTTGGTTGGGTTTTGGGGTTGTTTTTTTTTTACTTTTTTTTTTTTTAATAAGACTTATTGTTCTTAAAAAAAAAAAAAAAAGGGAATCGCAAAACTTGGCTCTAGAAAAGGCCTTCTGATTTCTACTCTTACATATTCCCTTGCGAGTTGTGTCAGAAAACCTAACACTTCCATTTTCTCTATCAAAAAGGTACAATATAAACAACATAAGAGCAAACTAGCAAAAAATTACCCTTTACACGTGCACTGGGAGTTTATGCTCTTTCAGTTTCTAGTGTATTGGAGAGACCTTTCTAAAAATATAGCTTTCAGTAACAGGAATCTGAAACGTTAAAACTTTCAACTAAAGAAATTCAGGTGATTAGGATAGTCTGTGTATCTCCAGTTTAAGGAGAGGAATAAGCATCAGTTTCCTAGCATTTAGAAACTATTTTAAAATTCTCATGGATTTTTTTAACACTGAGTAGGTTTTTAAGTACAATTAAAAAAGGTTAAGTAAAGCAAATGATGGGAAAAGTTTTCAAAGACAGAGAAGAAACAACAGTTACTAGGTCAGTTTCAGCTTTGTGTTTGTGTGCGCGTTGTATGGGAGGGGAGTGTCTGAAACCAAATTGAAACACATCCATTAAAATGCTGCTGGTGTTCTTTATTCTTGCACAACTTTAACAAGTTGAGGTAGTAGCTAAGCTATTTCGGGCTGTATTTTAATGCTGCTATTTTTCAGTGTATCAGCTAAGGGCAAAATACAGCAGTGTGTTGTCTATGTTTGCTGATGCCCACTGCCTGCCTCGATTCTGACCTTCAGTTGCTAGTACAAGGCAATCAGCATGCGCCGTATGAAGCAAACCTGCAACTTTTTTGTTGGCCACAAGGTGGTGGAACCACAGTATGTTCATGGGAGATGCAGTATTTTTACAGTTTATTCATTTTACCTGTTTAAAAATCTGTTTTATGGTTGTTTATGTTGGGTTTCTATGAGTTTATTTAAACAAATGTACTGTTCTTTAAAGCATACATGGATCTCCAAATTTGTTTGTCACCCTTGAAACACTGGAAGGCATCACAATGTGTTCATTTATCTTAACGTGCCATTCTTTCAAGTACGTATAAAATGTAAATTGACCAACATGGCTTTTAAAAATGTTTAAAATCTGATGGCAAAAAACCAACCCTCTCTGATTCCTCACCAGTTAATCCTTTTGTTTCGGTGCTTGGTTATCTACTGGGATAACATTATCAGATGTGGCATTCTTATTATGGAAATTTTAGTAAGAAATGGGAAATGTTTTAAGAAAAACCCCTACCCTTTCTTTTTTTACTTGAATTCAAGAAGACGGGGACTTGTAGTAACAGAAGACCAATACATTCATCCTAGATTTAAGGGATTTGCTTCTGTTCATTGAAGAAGAAAAATCTGGAGGGGCCATTCCTAAGTAGATACAATCAAATTAATCAAATTCTTGGTGTAGTTAGTAAGTCGCTTGTTTATTACCTTTTAAATTTGTAGTCCAGTTATGTTTTTCTTTGTAAACTTTGCTAGCGTTGTCATAGTACTGTTACTGGAAAAATAAGTCTGATACCATTCACTTCCTTTAACATCGGGTATGTGCAACTGAGATACTGGAGCCTTGGATTAGAATTAGCAATTCTCCATTCTGAACTAGAATGAAATGAATGTTCATATGTCGTCTATGAAATTTCTCACCGAATAGAATTAAATACATGGATTGCCCTTAAAACCAAGAGAAGCTCTAAAGGAAGCACTTACAGTTAATGATTATTCCTTAACAAGGTTTTAGGGAAGAAAAGTAACACAAATGGAAAGGAGAAGCGTAAATAGGAATTGCTTTGATCACATGGTCTGGAACTATAAAGTAGTCCTCATTTCACGTTACAGAGGAAGGCTCATGCCCTAGATAACGTGAGCAAAGGCTGTCTTGAATGGTAAATAAACATTAATATAGGAATGCCAGGAATTTAGCTACTGTAGCCTCCCAGTTCTGATGTGCTGCAACCCCTCTTTCTTGCTACTGAAAATTCACAGTTCAGTGCTAAGAAAGCAAAGCTTGTTACTTGCTCTCTACCTTCCCCCCCTCCAGGGCAATAGAGAGGGAGGAGCAATAGACTCCGTGTATTACCGTAGGTGAAACACCACTGCAAAGAAGGACAAAGCTAACAGAACCAGCAAGTCAGACTATTGTTTAAGCTAAAAGTCTGTTTCTGGGCTGCAAGGATAAAATGCCATAACGTGCTATAGTGATGAAATGGTTGAAACAGTAGGACCAAAGCAAACCTGAGTGTACGTGCTATCTTGATTCTCCTCCTTCCATGACCATATCACTTGATTTAGGCCTTCCAGGTCAAGCAAATATGTAAGTGCTATTGCCAAGAATTAGAGAACTATGAAATGACCTAGTTTGCTTCCACTGTTGATTCTCTTTGTGTTACTATCTCATAGTGGAATTGCGGGAGACCACTGTAAAAACATGCAGGTGAACCATGTGAATAATTTTCCATGTCACTTATTTCTTACTGTCATGTTTCACCTTTCAGTAAGAAAGACCCCTCCTTTTCCAACAGGAACAGCTTCCCATCATTCTGTACTGTAGAAACTACCACACCGGGAGGTTCAGTTTGTAGCAAAGCTATCCCTGGAGATAACTAAAATATTTCCAGTCTTCTGGTGCAGAATGGACCAGGTACTGCTAAAGCTCTGGGCTCATGTACGCCTGTTTTGTGAGTTAAGTAAGATTCTATAATTTATACCTGTTCAAACATATTTGGGAATTAATATGATTACAGAGTCCCCAAGCCCAGCAGAAATGTTTGCTCTACTGCTGTCTTAATTGCAGTCATGTTCAAATCCTCTTGTCAGAAGCAGTTCATCAGAATGGAGAAAACTTTTTTTTTTTCTTTTCCACTAGAGCTTTTGTTTGTTTAACTGTAGCAGTATTTTTCCCCGGTGGTTAAGATATTCTGAGAACCCAAGACATTCTACAGATGAACCATTTCTCTAATCTGCAGAATGATTTATATGACGAGGCCATTTTATATCCCTGTGGATGTACGAAAGGGCAGGCATGTGTACAAGACAGCTTCCTGCCTGGAAGGAGAATACAGCAGCTTTCTGCGGATGACCCAAAACAAGGATCACAACGGGTAGAGCCCACCAGTGAGCAGATGGCCTTGGTCCTTAGATGCTCACATCT